CGCTAAGATTGAAAGGAAAATTTTATAAGACGGTGGTGAGATCTGCAATGCTCTTTGGCGCTGAATGTTGGCCTTTAAAAGAGAAGCATAATAATAAGTTAAGTGTTGCCGAGATGAGAATGATTAGGTGGATGAGTGGCTTTACACTTAGAGACAAAATGCGGAATGAATATATTCGTGATAGGGTTGGTGTAGCTTCTGTGACAGACAAAATTAGAGAAAGTCGTCTTAGATGGTTTGGTCATATTAAACGTCGACCATTAGATGATCCGATTAGGAGAGTAGATGTAAATTCGATTTGTATTAAGAACGGCAGAGGTAGACCTAGGAAGACTTGGGCTTATTGTATTAAAAATGATCTTAATTTACTAGAACTAAATGAAAATATGACATTAAATAGGACGATGGAGAAAAAGGATTCATGTAGCCGACCCCACGTAGTGGGATTAAGGCTTTGTTGTTGTTGTTGTTGTATAAAACAAGTGGTTTAAGTAACCAGATTTGTGTGTTTAATTTTGACAATGAATCTACTCATGATCAGTCATATTCCAACTAAATCAAGTTTGCTTACTGAAACCCTTTCTGTCATTATTCATTCTTATTTAATGAGATGAACAATATGAATGTAAAGATTTTACTAGCTTAGTTTGTTGGCACAAATGATCAAGCTTTTTGAAATTAGGAAATTGTGTCCTACATTTTGTTGGTAGCGACGAGACTTGTAAAATTAGCATGGAATTGCAAACTCCTTTGTACTATAATTTTCATTCCTAACGACTTCCCTAAATGTTGGAAATATTCTATGATAACTTTTATATGTTCTATTTGTATTTATAGATGTTGGGGTTTTTTTTTTCATATATTTGCAATTAAATAATAAATAAGTTAATTTTATCCCCTTTTTGACAATTTCACATAAAGGTTTTTACTGAAAATGAAGGAATAATGTTTTAATCTTTTTAAGTTTCCCATTAGATGACTTTTGTGTTTTGATTATTAACAATGTTCTTTGTTGATTCTAGCTCTATGAAAAATGCATATAAAAGGAGTCTTTCCGTTATACGTGACTGCATCTAACTATCTATAATTTTTATGATTGTAGTCATTAT